CTTTCCCCGTCCCCCAACCGTTGCAGCTCTTTTAGTCACACCTCTCCCTCCCCACCTGTTCAGCACTTTTATTCACAATTGGGCCCAGCGGCCACCCCTCGCTGCAGCTCTTTTAGTGCCACTTCGCCATTGCCCCCCCATGCAGCTCTTTCCGTCCCATCTCACCCTCCCCTCGCTGCAGCTCTTCCAATAACCCGGAGCAGTGGCCACCCCCCAGCGCAGGTCTTGTAATCCCGTTTCCCCGTCCCCCCTCGCCCTGCCCACCAGTTCAGCACTTTTATTCACACTTGGGCACAGCGGCCACCCCTCAGTGCAGATCTTTTAGCGCCGCTTCGCCATTCCACCCGTTACAGCTTTCAGTCGCACCTCGCCCTCCCCTCCCTGCAGCTCTTCCAGTGACCCGGGGCAGCGGCCACCCCTCGGCACAGCTCTTTTAGTGCCGCTTCGCTCTTCTACAGCCCTTTTATTCACCCCTCAGCGCCGCTCTTCCAGTGCCGCTTCGCCATTTCCCCCCATTGCAGCTCTTTTAGTCACACCTCGCCCTTCCCAACTGAGCACCCCTTTTATTCACACCTCAGCTCAGCTCTTTTAGTGCCCTTTCCCCGTCCCCCAACCGTTGCAGCTCTTTAAGTCACACCTCTCCCTCCCCACCTGTTCAGCACTTTTATTCACACTTGGGCACAGCGGCCACCCCTTAGTACAGCTCTTTCAGCGCCGCTTCGCCATTCCACCCGTTGCAGCTCTTTTAGTCCCATCTCACCCTCCCCTCCCTGCAGCTCTTCCAGTGACCCGGGGCAGCGGCCGGCCCTCGGTGCAGCTCTTTTAGTGCCGCTTCCCCATTCCCCCACATTGCAGGTCTCCCCATCGCCCCTCAGTGCGGCTCTTCTAGTGCCGCTTCGCTCTTCTACTGCCCATTTGTTCAGTCCTCAGCGCCGCTCTTCCAGTGCCGCTTCGTCCTGTCCCCCCGTTGCAGCTCTTTTAGTCACACCTCGCCCCTCCCACCTGTTCAGCACTTTTATTCACACCTTGGCAAAGCAGCCATCCCTCGGCGCAGCTCTTTTAGTGCCGCTTCCCCATCCCCCAACCGTTGCAGCTCTTTTAGTCACACCTCGCCCTTCCCACCGTGCAGCCCTTTTATTCACCCCTCGGCACAGCTCTCCCAGTGCTGCTTCGCCCTGTTCCCCCGTTGCAGCTCTTTTAGTCACACCTCACCCTCCCCTCACTTCAGCTCTTCCAGGGACCCAGGGCAGCGGCCGGCCCTCGGTGCAGCTCTTTTAGCGCCGCTTCCCTTCGCTGCAGCCCCGGCCGCCTCCACCTCACGCTTCTCTTCCCTCGCTGCTGCTCTTCCTCGGATCAGCTCTTGACACACAAGATGGTGGCGAGCCCTCGGTACGGCTCTTGCAGCGCAGCTCCGGCCTTCCCGTGCAGCCCTTTTATTCACCCCTCGGCACAGCTTTTAGTGCCGCTTCGCCCTGTCCCACCATTGCAGCTCTTTTAGTCACACCTCGCCCTTCCCACCTGTTCAGCACTTTTATTCACACTTGGATGCAGCGGCCACCCCTCGGTGCAGCTCTTTTAGTGCCGCTTCCCCATTCCCCCACGTTGTAGGTCTCCCCGTCGCCCCTCAGCGCGGCTCTTTTAGTGCCGCTTCGCTCTTCTACAGCCCATTTGTTCACCCCTCGGCACAGCTCTTCCAGTGCCGCTTCGCCATTTCCCCCCATTGCAGCTCTTTTAGTCACACCTTGCCCTTCCCAACTGAGCACCCCTTTTATTCACACCTCGGCACGTCTCTTAGTGCCATTTCCCCGTCCCCCAACCGTTGCAGCTCTTTTAGTCACACCTCGCCCTCCCCACCTGTTCAGCACTTTTATTCACAATTGGGCACAGCGGCCACCCCTCGCTGCAGCTCTTTTAGCACCGTTTTGCCATTTCCCCCGTTGCAGCTTTTAGTCACACCTCACCCTCCCCTCCCTGCAGCTCTTCCAGGGACCCAGGGCAGCGGCCGGCCCTCGGTGCAGCTCTTTTAGCGCCACTTCCCTTCGCTGCAGCCCCGGCCGCCTCCACCTCGCGCTTCTCTTCCCTCGCTGCTGCTCTTCCTCGGATCAGCTCTTGACACACAAGACGGTGGCGAGCCCTCGGTACAGCTCTTGCAGCGCAGCTCCGGCCTTCCCGTGCAGCCCTTTTATTCACCCCTCTGCGCAGCTCTCCCAGTGCTACTTCGCCCTGTTCCCCCGTTGCAGCTCTTTCAGTCACACCTCACCCCTCCCACTTGTTCAGCCCTTTTATTTACACCTCGGCAAAGCGGCCACCCCTCGGCGCAGCTCTTTTAGTGCCGCTTCGCCATTCCCCAACCGTTGCAGCTCTTTTATTCACACCTCGCCCTTCCCACCGTGCAGCCCTTTTATTCACCCCTCGGCACAGCTCTCCCAGTGCTGCTTCGCCCTGTTCCCCCGTTGCAGCTCTTTTAGTCACACCTCGCCCTCCCCACCTGTTCAGCACTTTTATTCACACTTGGGCACAGCAGCCACCCCTCGGTGCAGCTCTTCCAGTGCTGCTTCGCCATTCCACCCGTTGCAGCTCTTTTAGTCACACCTCGCCCTTCCCAACTGAGCACCCCTTTTATTCACACCTCAGCTCAGCTCTTTTAGTGGCCTTTCCCCGTCCCCCAACCGTTGCAGCTCTTTTAGTCACACCTCGCCCCTCCCCACCTGTTCAGCACTTTTATTCACACTTGGGCGCAGCGGCCGGCCCTCGGCGCAGCTCTTCTACTGCCGCTTCCCTTCGCTGCAGCCCCGGCCGCCTCCACCTCGCGCTTCTCTTCCCTCGCTGCTGCTCTTCCTCGGATCAGCTCTTGACACACAAGACGGTGGCGAGCCCTCGGTACGGCTCTTGCAGCGCAGCTCCGCCCTTCCCGTGCAGCCCTTTTATTCACCCCTCTGCGCACCTTTTAGTGCCGCTTCGCCCTGTTCCCCCGTTGCAGCTCTTTTAGTCACACCTCTCCCTCCCCACCTGTTCAGCACTTTTATTCACAATTGGGCCCAGCGGCCACCCCTCGCTGCAGCTCTTTTAGCACCGTTTTGCCATTTCCCCCGTTGCAGCTCTTTTAGTCACACCTCACCCTCCCCTCCCTGCAGCTCTTCCAGTGACCCGGGGCAGCGGCCACCCCTCGGTGCAGCTCTTTTAGTGCCGCTTCCCCATTCCCCCACTGTTGCAGGTCTTCCCATCGCCCTTCACTGCATTTCTTTTAGTGCAGCTCCGCCCTTGTACAGCCCTTTTATTCACACCTCAGCGGAGCTCTCCAAGTGCCACTTCGCCCTGTGCCCCCGTTGCAGCTCTTTTAGCACACCTCGCCCTCCCCTCCCTGCAGCTCTTCCAGAGACCCGGGGCAGCAGCCACCCCCCGGGCGCAGCTCTTGTAGTGCAGTTTCCCCGTCCCCCCTCGCCCTCCCCACCTGTTCAGCAATTTTATTCACACTGGGGCACAGCAGCCACCCCTCGCTGCAGCTCTTTCAGCGCCGCTTTGCCATTCCACCCGTTGCAGCTCTTTTAGTCACACCTCACCCTCCCCTCCCTGCAGCTCTTCCAATAACCCAGGGCAGCGGCCGGCCCACGGCGCAGCTCTTAGTGCTGCTTCCCTGTCCCCCAACCGTTGCAGCTCTTTTATTCACACCGTGCCCTTCCCACCGTGCAGCCCTTTTATTTACGCCTCGGCGAAGCGGCCGGCCCTCGGTGCAGCTCTTTTAGTGCCGCTTTGCTCTTCTACAGCACTTTTATTCACCCCTCAGCACAGCTCTCCCAGTGCCGCTTCACCCTGTGCCCCCAACCGTTGCAGCTCTTTTAGTCACACGTCGCCCTTCCCACCTGTTCAGCACTTTTATTCACACTGGGGCACAGCAGCCACCCCTCGCTGCAGCTCTTTCAGCGCCGCTTTGCCATTCCACCCGTTGCAGCTCTTTTAGTCACACCTCACCCTCCCCTCCCTGCAGCTCTTCCAATAACCCAGGGCAGCGGCCGGCCCGCGGCGCAGCTCTTAGTGCTGCTTCCCTGTCCCCCAACCGTTGCAGCTCTTTTATTCACACCGTGCCCTTCCCACCGTGCAGCCCTTTTATTTACGCCTCGGCGAAGCGGCCGGCCCTCGGTGCAGCTCTTTTAGTGCCGCTTTGCTCTTCTACAGCACTTTTATTCACCCCTCAGCACAGCTCTCCCAGTGCCGCTTCACCCTGTGCCCCCAACTGTTGCAGCTCTTTTAGTCACACGTCGCCCTTCCCACCTGTTCAGCACTTTTATTCACACTTGGGCGCAGCAGCCACCCCTCGGTGCAGCTCTTCCAGTGCCGCTTCGCCATTCCACCCGTTGCAGCTCTTTTAGTCACACCTCACCCTCCCCTCCCTGCAGCTCTTCCAGTGACCCGGGGCAGCGGCCGGCCCTCGGCGCAGCTCTTTTAGTGCCGTTTCCCCGTCCCCCAACCGTTGCAGCTCTTTTATTCACACCTCGCCCTTCCCACCCTGCAGCCCTTTTATTCACCCCTCGGCGCAGCTCTTCCAGTGCCGCTTCGCCATTTCCCCCCATTGCAGCTCTTTTAGTCACACCTCGCCCTTCCCAACTGAGCAACCCTTTTATTCACACCTCGGCACATCTCTTAGTGCCATTTCCCCGTCCCCCAACCGTTGCAGCTCTTTTAGTCACACCTCGCCCTCCCCACCTGTTCAGCACTTTTATTTACGCCTCGGCGAAGCGGCCGGCCCTCGGCGCAGCTCTTTTAGTGCCGCTTCGCCATTCCCCCCCATTGCAGCTTTTAGTCACACCTCACCCTCCCCTCCTCCCTGTAGCTCTTACAGTAACCCAAGGCAGCAGCCACCCCTCGGCGCAACTTTTAGTGCCGCTTCCCCATTCCCCAACCGTTGCAGCTCTTTTATTCACACCTCGCCCCTCCCACCTGTTCAGCCCTTTTATTCACCCCTCGGCACAGCTCTCCCAGTGCTGCTTCGCCCTGTTCCCCCGTTGCAGCTCTTTTAGTCACACCTCACCCTCCCCTCCCTGCAGCTCTTCCAGGGACCCAGGGCAGCGGCCGGCCCTCGGTGCAGCTCTTTTAGCGCCGCTTCCCTTCGCTGCAGCCCCGGCCGCCTCCACCTCGCGCTTCTCTTCCCTCGCTGCTGCTCTTCCTCGGATCAGCTCTTGACACACAAGACGGTGGCGAGCCCTCGGTACGGCTCTTGCAGCGCAGCTCCGGCCTTCCCGTGCAGCCCTTTTATTCACCCCTCGGCACAGCTTTTAGTGCCGCTTCGCCCTGTCCCACCATTGCAACTCTTTTAGTCACACCTCGCCCTCCCCACCTGTTCAGCACTTTTATTCACACTTGGGCACAGCGGCCACCCCTTAGTACAGCTCTTTCAGCGCCGCTTCGCCATTCCACCCGTTGCAGCTCTTTTAGTCCCATCTCACCCTCCCCTCCCTACAGCTCTTCCAGTGACCCGGGGCAGCGGCCGGCCCTCGGTGCAGCTCTTTTAGTGCCGCCTCGCCCTGTTCCCCCGTTGCAGCTCTTTTAGTCACACCCCACCCATCAGCTCTTTCAGTGACACGAAGCAACGGCCACAGCCCCCGCACCGCCCCTATTCGCGCCTCGCCCTTCCCTCACGCAGCTTTTTCACCATCGCTTCGCCTTGGAGGAACCAGCAAGGGGCTCCCCCGCCCCGTGACCAGCTCCTCCGCTGAACCCCCTGGGGTGGCTCTTAAAAGAGTCTTTGGGTTCAACCTTTATTACTATTTTCATCGCGTTTCTAAAACTCTCCCCTAGCCGCCACCGCAGTAGGACCACCGGCCTCCTCCGCGCCCCCAGCCGCCGCCTCCTCCACGGCCGCCGCCTTCACCGCTTTTCCCCGGCGCCTTCTCGGCTTCTTCAGCCGCTGCGCGGTGGCTTTAACACCGCGCCTTGGCCCCTTTCTCTTCCCGGCGGGGTGCTGACGCACTTCACGGGCCGCCCTCCCGCGCCGCCCGGCTCCCTCCAGTCGCTGCTTACCGACACGGCCGATGCGAAACGAACCGGCGACGCCGCTGCCCGTCACCCGCTGCAGGAGTTCTTTGCTGACCAAAGCACCGACCGCCGCTTTCAAGCGCCCCCTGTTCTTCACCACGTCGTAACCTCCGGCGGCGAGCGTCTTCTTAATGAGAGCTAACGAAGCGCCTTTGCGAGCCGTCGAGAGGCAAACGGCGCGGAGGATGAGATCCGACAGCGACAACCTGCCGCGCTTCTTCGCCACCGGCATCGCCGCCCTCGAAGCGCCTCGCTGCGGCGCGACTCTCCCCCGCGGCATCGCCGGGCCGGGCCGCTGCCTTCACCTCGCCGCTGCCGCCCTCTCGCTTCGCGCTGCCGCCCTCTCGCTTCGCTCTTCCTCCCTCCGGCGTCAGCTCGCAACTGCGGCGCAGCGCCCCCCGGCGGCCCCTTTATATAGCCCCGGGCCGGACGCAACCGAGTCAACGTCTCGCGCTCTCATCCCCCCCCCCCGCCCCTCCCCGGCGGACGCAACCGAGTCAACCCGCACGTACCTTCCCGCCGCCGCCAAAACCGGCTTTTCTACCCCCTAAAAAAAACAACAACAAACAACAACAAACCAAAAAAAAAACCCACACCAAAACCGCTAAAAATTGCCTCAGAAAATTCAAGAGGCTGCCACGCACGCTTGCACCGCGATGCTGCAGCTCCGGACAGTCTTTACAAGCAAAAAATAAAATTCAAATCGAGTACAAACGGTGGTTTGCTTTCGGGCACAGAGATCACAGAAAGTGCGCAAAAATGCCGGTTTCTGGAAAATATCTAGCACAGCCCTGGCTTCTCGTTCTGCTGCCAAAGGCTCTCGCAGGCTGAGATCCCTCTTACAAAGAGCTAGTAAGTGCCCGAAACAACTAAGAATTAAATGTGAAGTTGATCTCTTGTTAATTAAAGCCCTGTTGCAGGCGCTTTGCTAGGACTAACCATACGTATATATATATGTATGTGCATTTTTTTAACTAAAAAAGCAAAAAAAAAGGAAATAAGGATTTCGGAGAGATTTTTTTGCTTTTTTTTTTTTTTTTTTTCTACCCAGAGAGCTACCGCGAGAGATTAAAGTTTGGAACTGATTTTGGTTTACTCCCTCCTGTTGTCTCCTGTCCGGTCGGATCGCGCTTTGCTCCATCGCATCCTCGAGGCTCCCCACGCGGGTGTGAACGGAGGGGCAGAGGATCACAAACGCCTCCTTCTATTGGCTGTCCTGACACGATGAGGCTACCCATTGGCTGCCCAAGTCAACCAATAACAATGGCACTTTCCGATCCGCTCTCCCGAGGCCAAGGTGGGCTCCACCCCCGCCCCTCCTCGCCTAAGAGCGGAGCTGGGTCTATTAACGGCCTTAAAAAATGAAAAAACAGGTGGGTTTTGCATCGCTTCTACCTTTTTTTTTCCCTCGTTGCAAGCCGGAGTGAGGGGGTTTGGCAGCGCCGCTGATATCCCCGTAGGAAAGGGCTGTGGTTTTCTTGGGGAAAAGCCAAAGCTGATTAATTTGGGGTTCAGCGAGCTGCTGTTTTTACACCTTTGTTTGGAAATAGCCAATTTATTTTACTGTTTTATCAGCCTTATTCATAACTACAATAATTCCTGATTAGTCTCTTTTAAAAAAAAATATTTTTAAGTGGGCTACATTCTATAAAAGTGAAACTTCCTGCTCAAAGACCCTCGTTTGGTTTGGTTCCCTGAATTAATTTTCTTCTACAACTGCATTAACATTATTCCCTCCTGGGTTGGGCTGCTCTAACACCACCTCCACCCCCCACATCCTCTGCCAGCTAGTGCTTATTTTTTCCTCTCCGCTTCTTGTTTTTCACATCTGATTCAGGTGCTGAGGTTTAGCAGTGGGGTTTTATTTCAGTTTAACCCCCCCCACTGGGTTTATTGTTGGCGACATGGCTAATATCCACATGAGCTCTGTGGGACGTAGCAGGAACTCATTGCATTCCTGAATTAATCCCTCCTTTCTGCAGCCACCCGCCGGCCACAGTTTGCTCCCCTCCGGGTACAGCCAGAATGGTGGAAAACTCACCCCGCCAATAAATCACCTCTCCTAATCCCACAGAAATCACCACCTGTGTTCCTTTTTGTCCTTAAATCCCTGCTGGCCTTGTCCTTGGGGGTTATTGTATCACTGGGGCAGGAGAAACACCAGATAAGCTCTGTGTTGTTTTCTCTTGTGAGGCTCCACAAAAAGGGCTCATAAAACCCCCCAACCTCGTTGCTTCAGCCACAGCCACGAGAAACGCCATGGAAAATCTCCAGGAGGAAACCACCTGCACCATCTGCTTGGATTTTTTTCCATGATCCTGTCACGCTCCTGGGTTGTGGCCACAATTTTTGCCATCGTAGCATCACCCCCACCTCACCGTGCCCCTCGAAGAGGCTGCTCGCGAGTACAGGGTGAGCAAAACCCCAGTTCAAACACCCTCCCCATGCCCGAGTGACTCTAAAAGCCCAATTTCCCTTAAAACTCAGCCCAATAAATAGGTATTTTCAATGGGGCAAAGCTTTTCCCCACCTTTCCAGGGGAAAAAAGCCCTGCGAGCACCCACAAGTCAAAATTGAGCTGAAATGCTGCAATTTGCTGAGGCTTACATATGAAATGGGGCGGGGCAGTATGGGGACCAAAATTCTCAAGATCTATGATTTAAAAGCTCCTGCTTTCCCTCAGCGCCTGTATTGTGGAGGGTTTCTGCTCCCTTTCTGGGTGTGGAAGGGAAATGGGGGTCCACAAAGGGAGTCTGGACCTGGCTGGGGGTGTGAGGAAGGGGGAAAAAAAGGGCATTGGGGTGTTTAAGGGGCTGGCGGGGACTTTTAGGGGAGGTTTTGGAGAGATGGGGTAACCCAACCCAGCTGGGAGACCCATAGTGGGCATGTATCACTATATACTTATATATCTATAGAGATAATGTATGGGTGTACCTATAGCATAGCTAGAAAACTAATTATAATGGGGATATACATTTGCATATCTGTTTCAGCACAGCCAGAGAGGAGGGTGAGGACGGGGCCGCCCATGCTGGCCGCTTCCAGTGTGCTTTAGGGGTGCCAGCCCCCCCTTTTTACCCCTCTCCAGGAGCCAAAACCCCTTTTCCCGCTTGCAGGAATGATTCGAAGCTTCCCTGAAAGCCTTGCAAGAGGAGGACGAGCGATGCGCTGGGCTGGCAGCGGAGGAGACGAGACGGGAGATGCTGGTGGGTGCTCCCGCCGTCGGGGTGCAACCTGCTTCACCCATCCTCCTCCTCCTCTTCCTTCATCCCCCAGATTTGAGTCAATGTTAAGAAGCAGAAGCTGCTGGAAGGGCCTCTGCGGGTGCTGGACAAGCAGAAATCACCCTTCTTGATCCAGCTGTGTTGCCTACATTGAGGGCTGGAGGAGCAGCGACGCAGTGAAGTCGCTGAGCTCCGGGCCAAGCACTGGCAACCGGACAGTGACCTGCTAAGGGGGCGAGCCAAATCCTTCCCCCAAATCCCTCTGTTTTCCTCCTCTTTGGCTTTTTTTTTTCCCCCAGGCAAACAGCACTGAGCATCTCTCCCTCTCCAGGATGCCCAAGTCACCCGGAGCAGGTATATGGACCAAAAAGCATCACCAGAAATGCCATTTTTAGGCGTCTTTTCCTCACCCTGCAGCCTTTTCCCCTGGGATTTTTGCTTTTGAGGTGCTGGGGTTGATGGTTAAACTGAGGTTTGGTGTCCCATACGGGCTGCTTCGGTCTCAGCCCCGAACGAGGCATTTGGGCCGTGCTTGGGGCAGCTACGGGCTCTTACCCGGCCCAGCCCCACATGTTGAGGTGGTTTTGGGTTATGCCGACAGCGAGACCAAAATCTTCACCTTCCCCCAGGCAGCTTTCACTGGGGAACAACTCCAGCCACTGCTCTGGCGGGGCGAGGAGCCAGCTCTGCTCACCCTCTGCCCCTGAACCCCCCAAAACCAGACCCTTCCACCACCCCAGCCCCATATTTGCTTTTCCTTTTAACACCTAATTTAACAAAACTAATCCCATTTCGCCATCCCACTCCTTGACGGGTTTGCAAGGACCCAAAATTCCCCTTAAATAATTTTTTTTTTTTTTTTGCAGCTCTGCTGGCAGTTCTCCAGTGAAAATAAGCCTTGAAAGAGGAAAAGACAAGGGAATATCTTGCTTCCCAGTGCTCATCCCAAACCCCTTTCCCAAAGCAAAACCCACCCTGAATACACATTTTTCACCCATTTATTATTATTACTTTTTAAAGGAGGGGGAAAATTAAAGAAAGAGGAGCACATTGCACACGGGCCTGGAGCAGAGCTGGGTTTTGCACGCTGGGGAGAGGGCTGTGCTTGAGGTGTGGGTTTTTTCCCCAATTTAATGCTTTTTGTTGAGTTTTTCTCCTCATCGTGCTGCAAAACACCCACATTTCCCCCTGAGGAAACATCCTCAGTGGGAGGACAGGGATGGAGAGGTTTTTGTTTCCCTGGCTGTTTGTCAATGGAAACATGGCCCAGAAAAACAGGGAGAATCCCAACCCCACCCCCTGCCAATGTAAAAAGCTCAATTTAAGGAGGAAAACAAAAAAAAAAAAAAAAGGATTTGCTGCTGCCATTGGACGCCTCGTAGGAAGGTTTTGCAAGCAGATAAGTTTCTGCTTAGGATTTGCAGGGAATTTAGGGGGGGAACGGGATAAAACCACTTCTTGTGCCTCCCGGGATCACTCGGGCTGGGGCCTCCCTGTGGTTTTGCAGTCGCTGCCAGGATGTGAGCAGGGAGAGAGGCCACGGCCCAGACTTCATCCTCCCATTTCACCACCTATGAGCGAAGAGAAGGGGAAAGAATAAACAAACCAGCATCTTGAGACAGCAGGAAGCCGTTAGTAGGGTTAAACCACATAATAAAGCGCTGTTATCAGGCAGCGCAGGCAGGACCGGGCAGGTTTCTGGCTCTTACAGCCCCAATCGCTCCACCTCCACTGCCGGACTCGCCTCCCCGTCCACAGAGACTCGTGACAACGGCCCGAGGAAGAGGAGAAACCACCAGGAAAAGCAGCGGGGCGGGTGGCTGCTTTCATCTCCGGGGACCTAATTTAAAATAAGGTCCCTGACAAAGCCGCAGATCACCGCTAAACCTAAATTACAGCCCAGCTCAGTTGTATAATTAGTCATTTCCCTGCTTGATTCGTGGTGAAGTGAGTCGTAGGCGACATCGCCCTCAAAACATGAGAACCCGGCACAGCGCAAGGTCCAGCGGCGCTCCCTGTCCCGAGTAAAAAATCAAAATGCTTCTTTGCAGTTTCCTGCTCAGATGAGCTCCTGATGTTCTCATTTCTTTCGCTTTGCTTCTCCATGGCTTTAATTTGAAAGTTAGCACACACAAAGGAACAACCCCCAAAATGTGCCCTTTCGGCATAGCTCTGCAGGCGGGGGAGGGGTAAGGAGAAAAAAAAAATCAGCCTCTTCTCCCTCGAAGGCACCTCACAAGCCTCACGCTGGCGATTTGGATGGCAGCTCGCTTGGCGTGGCGGGCACAGGGCCCCCATTCCTCGAACAGCACCAGCACCAGCGCCTCGCAGCCGGCCCGCGGAGCCTCCACAGCAGCGCCGCGGACCCCCAAACCCTCCCAGGGGAGAGAGAAACCTCGCAGGAACCTGCGAAAAGAGGCCGCGGGGAGCAGCTGAAGGAGTTTTTTTCCGGGAAAGACGGAGTTTTCGCCACAGCCGGCAGGGAGACGGGCGCGTTTTGGGGGTGTTTAGAGCGTTTTTGGGGGGAGGTTGACGAGGAGGAGTCGCCGCCACCTGCTTTGCCCGCGCTATCGCGCCGCGCCGTTCCCGCCAACCGCGGCGCGCCCCGCCTGTTAGAAGGGCGCTGCGCGCTCTGATTGGCCACCCCCTCCCCATCGCGGCGTTCCATTGGCTGCGCCGCTCCCCGCAGGTGACCCTCCCTGGAGCGGACCTGAGTGAAAACTGCGCGACGCAGCGAGGGGCGGTGGCGGCGGAGGGGCGGACCTGAGTGAGGACTGCGGGTCCCCGGCGAGGTCGGGAGCGTTAAACCGCCCCTGCTCCCTCACAGTGATCCGTTTTAAGTGGAAAAAAGCGGATTTCGGGGGCGGGTTTGCAACTATTCGGGTTAATAATCGGCGGGTGTTTATAAAAACGGGGTTCAAAAGGCACTTTTAAAATCACGGGATCGTTATCCCCCCCCCAAACCACCAATTTGGGCGTATTTTGCTCCAAAATACAGCTCCACTGTCAACCCCGGGGCGGGAGTCAGTGGCTTGAAGCCTCTGGTTTTGGGGAGGTTTGGCATGTTTTGGGCAGTGTGCTGGGAAATGGGGGCTTTCCACCTCAAAACGCTCCTTGTGGGGAAGAAAACCCCCAATTGGGGAGGAATTGGTTAATAAAAGTGCTGATAAACCCCAAACCCCCCATTTTTGGGGGGGGGTTGGACTGTCCCCCTTTTAAATGAAAGTAAAAAGATTTGGTGTATCAGCACCAGCAGCAGAGGTGGGGATGGAATGCCTCCAAAAATAGCCAAAACCAGCCAGATTTAACCCAAATCCTGCTTGGAGGGAGGAGAGGGGGGATGAATCCCTCCCAGTGTCACCACCCTGCCCAGTTTTGCCCCCCAGCCTTTTCCCCACTTCTTATCCCAATTTACTGGGATAAAATTTCATCATTTCAGTTCCTCTATTTCAGAACTTCCCCTGCTTTCAAAAGAAGCTTTCCCACCCCAAAACGAAGCCGAGCAAGACATTTCTCCCCCCCCCTCAAACCCCTCACTGCCCATCTCCCCCCTCCAAAAAAAAGCCACGGCTGAGGGTTTATTTAAACTAAAAAGGGTCTTTTTTTTCCTTTTTCTTTTTTAAACACAAAAGGGGCTTTTTAGCAGCAGAAACGATGCTCCCCCTCAGACCCCAGCAGTGGAACATATGGGGCAGAACGTACAGACCAGCGAGCAGGCTGTGAAACGGGCTGTGATATAGGGTGAGGGGAACGTATGGAGTGTGATACCCAGACCCTATAGCCTGATATAGGGACAAAACCACAGAGCCCAAACCCTATGGCACCCAACAGCCTGGTGTGTATGCATACATATATATATGTATATATACATATATATGGTATATATATAGGGTCCAGGGTGTACAATCACATATAGGGACTAGAACAGACTCTTATAGAGATTCTAGACCCCACAGCCCAATATAGGGCCTGGAATAGGGCTGAGACCCTATAGGAACCAGGGCACATATATCTGTACAGACCCCCTATGGATGCGTACAGACCCCTATAGATCTGTACAGACCCATATAGATCGCTTTACAGCGTGCAGCACCCAGAGCATCAAGCTGAATACAGGGACAAGGCCCTAGAGTGCAATACAGAGCCTGGGCGGTGTGGATGAGCTGAGCAAATAAAATCTGAATTTTGTGGGGTTTTGGGTTTTTTGGTTTTGTTTTGTTTTGTTTTAAAAAAATTTAGTCTTTTTTTTTTTTTTTTTTCCTTTTATTCTGGAAAATAATTTCTCCGCTCGGAGCCACTTTCACCCCAAATCTTCCCCCGCAGCGGCACCGGAGAAGCGGCGCTTTGCTGCTGCTGCTGCTGCTGCTGCTGCTGCTGGGTGCCAAAAATCCTATCCCCCCCCCCGCCGCCTCCCACCCCGCTGAAGCCACACCGAAACAAAAAAAAAAATACAAATAAAAAGATGATGAAAAAGGGGGGCGCGCGCACGCACACACACAAAAAAAAAATAATCCCCCCCCCGCGCAGCGACGGCGCCCCGCTAACTCCAACTGGGATCGTAACCCGTCCAGTCCGAGGGAGGCGCGAGATAAACGCGCCGCCCCCGATAGACGAAGCTGACGATGCCGCGATAACCGGCGCGGGGGACGCCGGATTTGAGGTCGTCCATGAGCCCCAGGGCTTTGGCGAAGGCTTTGAAGGAATCGCGGCCGCTGTACTGCAAGCGGACGGTGCCCAGCTCCCGCCGGCGGTTCCCTTGGAGCTCCTCCACCCTCACCTCCGGCGCGGCGTAAACCTTCGCGAGGAAAAAACGTTCGTACTCTTCCTTTTTGAGGTAAGAAAGATCCAGCTGGGTAAAAGGCACGAAGCGGTCGTTCAGTTTGATAAATTTCAGATATTGGTCGAAAAACTGCCCGTGGCTCACTCCTTTGCGACCGAACGTCATCGTACGGGAGACTTCGGGGCGGATGCAGGAGCGGTCTCGGCGCTGTTCGGGCTGGCGCATCCAATCGTCCCAAAAAGCTCGCGGCCACTTGGGTTCAAGTTCATCCCAAAGTTCGGCTAAGAGCAACCAACCGAGGCCAGGAAAAAAATCAGTCCGGTAAAGCAACTCGGCTTCCCCGACGTCCACCATTTGCTCTTTGCCGTTGTCGTTCCAAGCGGAGACGCACCAGAGGCTGCGGTCGGCGAGGAGGAGCGGGAACGTCGCTTGGAAATACTCGAAAAAATCCGGAGCGACTTCTAAATCGTCCTCGACCACGATGGCGGCGCGGTAACGGAAGGTCCGGAAAACCTGGCCCAACGCCCAGCGGTAATGCCGGGCGATTTTGTAATAACCTTGGAACTTACGGTGCTCGGCCGGCACCGGGATGTCGCCGAGATCGGGCTGGCGGATGTGAGCCACGGCGTCGCCGTACGAAGCGATGACGCGAGCCGTTTCGGCGTGCCCGCAATCCTGGCTGACGATGACGGGAAAACGTTGAGCCGAGGGACGGTAACGTAAAAGTTTATCCAGGCACCGCCGGACGGTGCTGCGGTCGCAAGCCATCACCAGCACCGGCAAAACGGCGGCGGGGGGCTCGGGGAGTCGCGGCGGCGGGGAAGGGCGGGGGGGCGGAGGGGGGCGAGGGGTGACTGGAACCCCGCGCCGCCGCCCCCCCAGCCCGCTGTAGCGGTGGATCTGGCGGAGGAGTTCTTTTTGCCGTTCCAGTTCGGTTTCGGCATCTTGGGCCAAGCGGATCACCTCGGCCGTCAGCCGGTCGCCTTCGCCGGGGGAAGCCGGGCGGCTCCAGAGGAAGAGGAGGAGGAGGCCGTTCCAGGCGACGAAGAGCGCCGCCCCCCACACCACCAAGCTGCTCTTCTTCAGCATCCTTCAGCGCTCACTCCCACGCCATGGACCTGGCAAAAGGCAGGGGGAAGGGGGTTAAAAAAAAAAAAAAAAAAAAAAGAGGACACACACACATCACCCCCCCACCACCTCAAACTGGAGCTGGAGGGGGGACGAGGACACCCCGTGCTTGCGACACCCCAAAACTTCCCTCCCCAAAAAGAGAAGCGACCCCCGCCGTGGGGAGAGGAAGCGAAACTGCACGGCCCTGGGGAGAACTCCCAGCAGAAACGCGGCGCTGCAAAAATACAGAGGAAAAAAAAAAAAAAAAAAAAAAAAAAAAGCTTAAATAACTGGGGGGAAAAAAAGCAAATGATAAACCCCGACCCCAAATCTCAGTGCAGGGAGGAGGAGGGGGGCAGAGTCCGCTCCCGTTAAACGTTAACCCAGGAGTTGGCTCCGGTGAGGCTTTGCCACCGTGGAGGTTGAGGGGGGTGAAGTGGGGGCGGTTTCTGTTTGCAAACTGGGGATAAATAAAATAAAATATCACGTTTGAGCAGCAAAACCTTCACAAAGTTCTGTTTTCCTTAAGTTTTTTACTCACCCGGAGGCCGGCCCGACTCCTGCCAGCAGAGGCAAGATGTCAGCGGTGGCAAAAAAAGGGGAGGAGGGAAGCGGGGGGGGGAAAGGGGAATTAGGAGAAAAAAGAAAAGGAAAAAAAAAAAATAAGGCAGAGTTAAAAAAGCAACAGAAAAAATAAAGAGGGGAAAAAAAAGCGATTGCTTAACTCTGGTGAGGGAGCGGCGCGGGGGAGCGGCTTAAGGGTTAACGCCGCCGCGGGCCACGTTGGCGAGCGGAAAAAGGGAATTAAAAGGAAAAAAAACACCCGGAAAAGGGGCATTTCAAAGGAAAAAAAGCAAAAAAAGGGGTGTAGAGAGGTAGGAAAGGAGGGTGAGCCTGGTTTCCCCCCGCCCAAGGGGAAGGGTGAAGATGGAAAATGCCGATAGCACAGTTCCCCCTTCCCGGCCCCAACAAACTCATCTGGCCCCAAAAAAACGGCCGGAGAGGAGGAAAGTGAGGGGGGGAAAAAAAAAAAAAAAAAAAAAAAGGAAAAAAAAAGTCAATTGTGAGGATTTCACGCTTCTCAGTTGCGTCCCTGAGGAGAAAGACGCTGGGATGAAGCCGTACCTGCGGGGCCGAAAGCAGCTCGGCCTCGTGGCAGCTCAAAACGCCGGGGCTGGGGTCAGAGCGAGGGGGTTTGGCCCAAACTGCGGGTTTTTTGGCCCACACCGAGGGTGGTTTTAGCCCAAGGCGGGGAGGGGTGGGGAGGGTTCAGCCGCGGTTTCACCCAACGTTTCTCGGCAGCAAGGCACAAGCCGGCGGCGAGGCGCTGAGTAAGCAGAGCTGGGGATTTTCCCTGCCCTCGGCTTCGCTCCGGGGGAGACTCCGAGCGACCGATAATTATATTAAATTAAATCCTCCAGCACCCCAAATCCCCCCAAATCCAGGGATTGGGGGGGTGGGCGACACCCCCCCTTTTTTTCCCCCCCCTCAGGAGTTTTTAGAGGTGAAACACCCCAAATCCAGAGCTTCCTGAAGTTTTGGGGGAGATTTTTAAGCTCTTTTCCCTCGTCACGGCATCCCCCCAGACTCCCCAAACCCCCATTTTGGGCAAACGCCCACCTGTTTCGCTCTGCCACCCCTAAATAACTCATTAAATATTCTTTTTAATTAATCCAGGCTCTTTTTTGCACCCTAGGGGGAAAGCAGTTCTGAACTCAGCAACCCCGAAACCACTTGGAAGGGCCCGAGCAAGTGAGCGCTGCTTTCGGGGACCTCCCCCCGCCCCCCAGTTTTTTCACCTCATTTTTTCACCTTTTTGGCTTCATTTCAGCCCAGGCGACGCCAAAATAAACCGCAACGATGGAGCTCGATGGCAACCAACCCTCGTCTTGGGCAAAATGAATCCCTTCATCCACGGGATTTCCCACTGAGCGTCACCCCACCGCCACAATCTTCCTAAAAATCTAATTTTTTTGGCCAATTTTTTGGCTTTTGGGGGAGGTTTTAGCCCCCTTCCAGTGAGGATTAGAGGGCGAGCAGCCAGGAAAAATGTTTCCCTTCTCTCTCCAGGTTAAAATTTTGGGGGGTTTACCTGGTTGTGGCTCGCTCCAGGGGGAGGGGGGTCGCTGGGGTTCCCCCCTCCCCCCCCTTTTCCAGAACCGCCTGGGAATCCCTCAGGAATCGGGGGAATTCGCTGCTTTTGTCCCGTCGGAGCTTCCTCACGGTCGTGGAGGAGGGGGAAAGGGGGGGGTCAGGCCATCTGTCCGTCCGCTCTCGTGGGGTTCAGCAGCTCCCAGCTCCCAGCCATGGTTTGTTTTTTTTTTTTTTTGGGGTGGGGGTTGTGGGGTTGGTGTGTCCAGATGAGCTCTAAAAATGAGGAGGAAAAGGTTAAAATGCCCAAATTCCCTCCTATCCCCCACCCCCCTTTTTTTTTACAGAGAGAACAACCCCCCCCTAGATCTCCCCGGGGATGCTGCAGAACCCCAAAATCCCCGGGGAGAGAAATTCCTGCCAGGAATGGGGGGGGGGGGGGGTGGGTGTGTGACTCCTCCCAGTTCTATAGGGACAAGGGATCATCCCCCCCCCCAGCCCCTATAGGGGACAGAGGACCCCCCCCAACCCCCCTGATAACCCCATAGGGGTCAGAGGAGCCCCTCTCAGCCCCCCCGAGGGGACAGGGGAGCCCTCTTAAAACCCCTATAGGGGACTGCTGCCCCCCCCCATCCCTCTCAACACCCCACAGGGGTCAGAGGAGCCCCCCCCCCCCCAACCCTCAGCCCCCCCGAGACCTCCATAGGGGACACTAAAGGCCCCTCCGACCCCCACAGCGGACGGGCGCGGCCCCTCCATCGCTATAGGGGAGAGGAGGGCCCCCCCCACGGCCACGAGGGACAGGGGGATCCCCCCCAAAGGGCCCGATCCGGTCCCAAAGCCCCCCCAAAACCCGCCCCCCCCCCTCCCCGTACCAGCGGCGCCTCCCGGCAGCGCCCGCCACTTCCGCCCCGCCGCACCGGAAGCGACGCCATGGCAACGGCAAGGCCACGCCCCCCGTGCTTCCTTCCCTGTGTAGACCACGCCTCTCACGTCAGGCCACACCCCCCCGGTGGCACAGGGGACCGCCCACCACCACCGGTAGACACGCCCCCTTATAAGCACGCCCCAATCCCCCACACACCGCTGGGCCCCGCCCCTTACCCGTCCCGCCCCCATCAGTGAATGGCAGCTCTATCAACCAATCCGTGAGGCCTCCAGGAATGAACGCCTCGCTCCGCAAGTTTAGGGCGGGGAGAAGTGACGTAAAGGAGGGGGCGGGGGTTTCTCCGCACGCGCGCGGTCTTGCCGCTCTGGTCGCCGCGGAGGAAGTTGGACTTGTCTGCTCCGGGCGGTGGGGGAATATTGGGGGCAGGGGACTGGGGGACGTGGGTCGATGGGAGCGTTGGGTTGGTGTGGGGCTGGGGGGTGTCATTAAGGTGTTGGGAGGTATTGGGGGGCAATGGGGAGGTGGGGGGAGTGTGGGGCAATGAGGGGGGGTCGTTGGGATGGGTTTTGGGGGGCGGGGGCAATGTGGGGTGCTGGGGGAGGGGGGGGGCAGTGGGGTGATTTGAGCCGCGGGGGGAATGAGGGGTGCTGGGGGGTCAATGACACCAGGGAATAAAGGGATAAAGGGGTGCTGGGGGGGGGATTGGGAGCCCCCACTGACACCCCCCCCCCCCTAAATTCTCCCCCCAGCCATGGAGCTGCCCCCCTCCCGTTTCCAGTCCTGTCTGGATTTTTGCCCCGAATGCGGCTCCGTCCTGCCCCGCCCGGGCCCCCACAGCACCATCCGCTGCCCCCGCTGCGCCTTCACCCTCCGCAGCGCCGGTCAGTGGGGATGGGGGGGCGGGGGGGTGGGTGTCCCTCTGAGACACCCCAAAGCCCAGGACCCCCCCGCCTCTTCCCTCCAACTTGGTTGGTTTCTTTTTCCTCCCAGATTTTGAGGGTAAAGTTGTCCGCAGCACCATCGAGTTCAACCGGCTGGAGCCCATGGCAGGGAGGGGGTTGGATCTCACACCCCATCTTGACGGGCCCCTGGTGAGTGGGGGGGGTTCCACCCCCCCCCCTCCAAAAAAAAAAAAAAACAAAAAAAAAAAAACACTAGGAGGGGGGTAAAAGGGCACTGGGAAGGGACCCCCACCCCAAAAAAAACATTGGAAAGGGGATAAAAACCCCACTGGGAAGGGGACCCTCACTCCACAAAGCCACCGGGAAGGGGGTAAAGCCCCACTGGGAGGGGATCCCCACCCCAAAACCCACCCTGGGAGGGAGGTAAAGCCCCACTGGGAAGGGACCCCCACCCAAAAACCCCACTGGGAGAGGACCCCCACCCCATAAAACCCACTGGGAGAGGGGTAAAGCCTCACTGGGAGGGGGTGCCCACCCCATAAACCCCACTGGGAGGGGGGTAAAGCCCTAATGGGAGGGTAAAACCCCACTGGGAGGGGATCCCCACCCCAAACCCCGCCATCCCTCCCCCCAGAAGGAGGTAAAACCCCAGTGGGATGGGAGCACCCCCCAGAATGGGGTTGTGTGTCCAACCCCCCATATAACACATCAACCTCCTCAGAGCCAGGATATTTGGGGGTTCCCACCCCCAGGTTGGGTTTAACGCTTCCCCGAGCTGGGGGGGGTGGGCAAGCCCACCCCCCCCCCCCCCGAACAGGGTGCGGGGGGGGGGGCTAACCCTTATAATTGTTTTTTTGGGGGGGGCCAGGTGGAGCGGCGGTGTCCCCGCTGCGGGCACGAGGGCATGGCGTACCGCACCCGGCAGATGCGCTCGGCTGACGAGGGCCAGACCGTCTTCTACACCTGCCCCCAGTGCCGGTGAGAGCCCCCCCCAAGTCATGGGTGGGGGACCCCTTAATCCTTTCCCCCCCCCCATAACCACATCTTCCTTTTCCTGCAGGTTTCAGGAGAAGGAAGATTCGTGATGGGGTATTACCCCCCCCCCAGGAGTATTTACCCCCTCCCACATGGGTAATAAAAGCCCCGAGGGTTTTTATTCAGGGGGTGTCTCAGTTGCTGCCCCCCTCCAAACTGTGTGCCCCCCCAAAGGCTCTGAGCTGCCCCCTTATATCTTTTTTTACCCCCCTCAAACAGCCCCTCAGTCTGTATCTGCCCCCCACCCCAAATTGCCCCCTCAGACCTCATCCCCCCCCAACTGCCCCCTCAGGCTCTAATTACCCACCCCTCCCCCAACCCCTGAAAAGCCCCCTCATCCCTTATCTAACCCCCCCAAATTGCCCCCTTGGCCCCTCTTTGCCCCCCTGAAATGCCCCACCAGGCCCTCTATGACTCCCTCCCCCCCCCCAGCCCTTGAATTGCCCCTCTGCGCCCTATTTATAACCCCCTCAGCCCCTAAATTGCCCTCTCAAGCCTTAATTACCCCCTCGACCCCTATTTGCGCCCCTTCAGCCCCTATAGATCCCCCAAACGGCCCCTATATAACTCCGAAATCACGCCCTCCCCGGGCCCAGCAGCCCCGCGCATGCGCTATGGCGCCCTCCCCGCCGCCGTACGGCGGAAGCGCTGCCCCTTCCCCCCCCCCCCCCCCCACTGGGGGACCGCTTTGTACGGAGGACCTACCGGAAGTGCCCGTGCCGCCGACCGGAAGTGGGGGTGGGAGCGGCGGTGGGCGCTGCACCGGGGCGGCGGCGGCCCGGCCCGGCCCTTCCCGGCGCTTCCCCGGTCGCAGCGGGGCCTCGGCGGGGGCCGGGACCCCCCCCCCACCACCAACACACACACAGACACCCACCCCCCCGCCTCCCGGGCACCGCTCCGCCCGGCTGGAACCATGGCGGAGGCGGCGGACAGCAGCGCCTGTGGCACCGCCACCGTCACCGAGACCGGCGCAGCCGAACCGGTGAGGACTATGGATAGCGGCGGGGGGGGGGGGGACGGACACAGCTATAGATACCGGGTGGGGGGCTATAGGTAACGGGAGGGGACACTATAAATACCTGAGAGGGGTCTATAGGTAATGGAAGGGGCTTATAGATGCTGGGGGGTGTCTCTAGGTACCCGGGAGTTGTCTATAGATACGCGGGGGGTGTGTCCATAGACACCGAGGGGGGCTACAGATACGGGCGTGGACCTATAGATATCTGATGGTGGGCTATGGATAACGGGGGGGGGGACGACTCTAAATACCTGAGAGAGGTCTATAGATATTAGAAGGGGCTTATAAATACTGAGAGGGGGGGCTATAGATACCAAGGGGTGCTACAGATATGGAGGTGGGCTTATAGATATCTGAGGGGGGGGCTCTGGATAACTGGGGGGGACTATAAATACCTGAGAGGAATGTATAGATACCAAAAGAGGGTTATAAATCCTGGGGGGAGGGGGGCTATAGATACAACAGGCGGCTACAAGATATGGGGGTGGACCTATAGATACTGAAGGAGGGCTGTAAATACATGGGAGGGGGGTCTATACATACCATGGGGGACTATAGATAGTGGAGGGGGGAAGTTATAAATATCTGGGGGGGGTAGAGATCCCTGTAGGGGGTATAAATCCCACTGGGGGGTAAATAGTTGGTAGAGGGGGCTATAAAGGGGGGGGGGGGAGGGCTATAGGCTCCCCCTGGGGGGTCCTATAGATATATTTGCGGGGGGTGGGAGGCTGTGAGGGGGCAGGAACTGGGGAGGAGGGGGGGGGGGGCTAAATTTTGCTGGGGTGGGGAGGGAGGTGACAGGAGGGGGGACAGGGACAGCGCCAGGGGATGTGACCAGGGCGGTTACGTGCCGGCGCTGGGGGCCACAACGTCAGGAGCTGTGACCGAGGCCGGTGTCAGACCCCACTGAAGGTGGGGGGGGTGTCTTTGCCCTCACCGTGCTGGTGACACCCCCTGTGTGTGTGTTGTTGTCCCCCCCTCCGCCAGGAAAACCGCAGCCTGACCCTCAAACTCCGCAAGCGGAAGCCGGATAAAAAAGTCGAGTGGTCGAGCGACACCGTCGACAACGAGCACTTGGGCCGCCGCTCCTCCAAGTGTGAGTGGCCTTGGGGACGCTCCTGTCCCCTCCCCGGACACCTGGGGCCCCCCCTTGGGGACACCCGTGTCCCCTGACACCCTGTTCTGGGGGGGGGGGGGGATGTCCGTGTGTCCCCCCCGTGTGTGTGTGTGTCCCCCACCCCAGGTTGCTGCATCTATGAGAAGCCGCGGGCGTTTGGGGAGAGCTCGACGGAGAGCGAGGAGGAAGAGGAAGAAGAGGAGGTGGCGAGGGGCGGGGACGAAGGCTGTGGCCACCTCCACTGCGTCCGGGGCCATAAACAGGGGCGGGGACGGGGAGGGGGGGGGACACCGGGGGCTGGGGGTGGGCCCCAAGTGCTCCCCCCAGGGCCCCCCACCCCTATGGAGCACTGAGGGACCCCCTATGGAGCCCCCCCCTCTCCCTTATTGACCCTTGCCCCCCCCCCCCCCCCCCCCCCCCCGAAATATCAACTCTGGGCTTGACACCCCCCCCATCACCTCAGGGGTCAGCCCCCCCCCAATATCAAAGCCTGAGCCCCCCAAATCGCTGCCTGAACCCCCCCAAACTTCCAAGGACCCTCCCTAAAATATCACTGCCTGAGCCCCACCCCCCCCAAAATCACTGCCTGAGCTCCCCCCCCAACCCCACACATACCCCAGTGTTTGGGGGGGGGACATTTTGGGGTGCCCCCCCCCCCTCCCTTTCATGGCACCTGTGGGCATTAAAGGTGGCACCGCTGCGACCGTGGAGCTCGTGGTGGTGGTGGAGGGGGGAGAAAGATGACGTTTATTGCGGGGGTGTCAGCTAGGAGGAGGTGGGGGGGGGCAGCTTTTGGGGGACTTCCCCGACCCCGGATGGCTTTTCTGGGGAGGGAGGGTGGCGGGGGGCAGCGTCGGCTCGGAGTTGGGCCCCCAGGCTGTGGGGAGAAAAGAGGGGGGTGTCAGCAAAAGGAGGTGGGGACACACACACACAGACACACACAAAAATAGGATTAAATTTGGGGAGACACACACCCGGGGGGGGGGGGGGCAGAAGATGCCACTAAACTGGGGTGTGTCCCCAAGGGAAGGGACAAGGTGTCACCAAAACAAAGTGTCACCACCCAAAAATGTCACCCAGCCGGATCGGGCCCCGCCAGGCACGTGGGCCCGGATGTTTGGGTGTCCCCCCCGCCCCCCCAGCCAGGGCAGGGACGAGGTCACCTGGGGTGTGGTGACATCCCCCCCCCAGGGGACACTCAGGTGTCCGGACACGTGAGGGATGGGACACGGGGTCCCCTGGGGCACCCACCCCCAAATAACTGGGTGCTACCCAGGTTCTCCCCTTAGCACTCCAAGTCCCCCAGCCCCCCAGATTGCCCCCCTCTCCAGCCCCCAAATCCCCCTCCCAAGTGCCCCCTGGACACCTGTGTCCCCCAAAGCCCCTCAATTCCCCCAAGGTCCCCCCTGGACAACTAGGACCCCAAAATCCAGCCCCCCAAGTCCCCCCTGGACAACTGGGTCCTTCAAATCCTCCCCCTTCCAAGTCCCCCCTGGGTCCCCCAAAGCCCCTCAGTTTCCCCCCCGGGTCCCCCCTGGACAATTAGGTCCCCCAAATCCAGCCCCCAAAGCACCCCCTGGGTCCCTCAAATTCTGCCCCCCAACCCCCTCAATTCCCCCCAAGGTACCTCCTGAACACCTAGGGCCCCCTCAGATCCAGACCCCCCTGGGTCCCCCAAAGCCCCTCAGTTTTCCCCCCAAGTCCTCCCGGGTGCCCCCTGGACAATTAGGTCCCCCAAATCCAGCCCCCCAAGCATCTCCTGGGTCCCTCAAATCCTCCCCCCCAGCCCCTCCAAACCCCTCAATTCCCCCCAAGTTACCTCCTGGACACCTAGGGCCCCCCCCCAAATCCAGCCCCCCAAGTCCTCCCTGTACACCTAGTTCCCCCAAATCCCACCCCCCCACACACACCTGGCTTCCCCCCCGTCCCCCCCCCCCCCCCGCCCAGCTCTTGACCTGCAGCGTTGTGGCCGTCGGGGGGGGCCGGGGGTTCCCCCAACCAACCGCTGAGCGATGCGACTCTCCACGGCCAGAGCCACGGGGGTACGGAGGCGGCGAGGGGCGCAGGGCAAGCGGCACCGGGGGCAAGTGAAGGCGAGGCCGGGCTCGCCGGCGGGCAAGCAGCGGCGGCAGCAGCTGTGGTTACAGGCGAAGAGGACGGGGTCCCGCAGAGGCTGCCCGCAAGCCGGGCACGAAGTTTCCCGCGCCAGACGGGCCAGCGGGCCCCGTTCCGGTGGCCCCGAGGGCGCCATGGCATGTGGGAGGCGTGTGCGAGGCGTGGGGGGAGGCGGGGAGGACGGCCCGGGTGTGGGCGGGGAGGGAGACGCGTGGATGTGGGGACGTGGAGGATGCGGGGACAGGGAGGGGCATGGCTGGGGGTGGGGACCCACAGGAGGGAGGAGGAGGGACACGGGGACGGGGGGGGGGGGACACACACAGAGGGATGTGGGGACAGGGAGGAACGTGGATGGGCGTGGGGACACAGAGGGACATGGGGACACGGATGGACAGGGAGGGATGTGGATGACGTGGGGACACACAGAAGGACACGGGGACAGGGATGAACATGGGGACAGGGATGGATGTGGGGACATGGGTGGACGTGGGGACACATGGATGGACATGGGGACATGGACAGGGAGGGACGTGGATGAAGTGGGGACACAGAGGGACATGGGGACAGGGAGGGACACAGGGGGACATGGATGACGTGGGGACACATGGATGGACAAGGACATGGATGGACAGGGAGGGACGTGGATGACGTGGGGACACAGAGGGACATGGATGACGTGGGGACACATGGATGGACAAGGACATGGACATGGGGATGTGGACAGGGAGGGACGTGGATGAAGTGGGGACACAGAGGGACATGGGGACAGGGAGGGACACAGGGGGACATGGATGGACGTGGGGACACACAGGGTGACAGGGACACGGATGGATGTGGGGACATGGATGGACTTGGGGACACACAGACGGACAAGGACATGGATGGACAGGGAGGGACTTGGATGAACATGGGGACATGAATGACGTGGGGACACGGATGGACATGGGGACACACAGACTGACACGGACATGGATGGACATGGGGACACGGATGGACATGGATGGATGTGGGGACACACAGAGGGACACGGATGACACGGATGACATGGGGACACAGATGGACAGGGAGGGATGTGGATGACGTGGGGACACACAGAAGGACACGGGGACAGGGAGGGACATGGACAGATATAGAGACACACAGGGACATGGATGGACATGGGGACACACGGACACGGGGACATGGATGACGTGAGGACATGGGGACAGGGAAGGATACGGACGGACATGGGGACACAAAGGGACATGGATGGACACAGGCGATACGTTGAGGGTCATGGATGATGTGGGGACACAGATGGACCTGGGGACAGGGAGGGACCTGGGGACACACAAAAGGACATCAAGGGACATGGAGGAACAGCCATGGGGACACAGATGGAGGTGGGGAGACGCGGAGGGACAATCGTGGAGACACGGGGCCACATGGAGGGACGGAGGGACACGGAGGGACACAGGGACGTGAGGAGAGCGGCGGAGTCACACAGAGGGACAGACCCAGCGACACGGACAGAGGGACACGAGGGGGGGGGGACACGCCTGCGCCTACCCCGGTGCCGCCGAGCCGGATGGCAAAAAGCAAGAGGCTGGTGGTGCCAGAGAGGCAAATCCCGGCGGTGCCGGGTATTGGAAAGCCAAATCCCGGCGGTGCCGGAGAGCCAGGCCGTGGTTATACTGGATAGCAGAGAATGGGGCCCCGGTGGTGCCGGATGTCGAAGAGCCAAATCCCGGCGGTGCCGGAACGCTGGATGTCAAAAAAGCCAAATCCCATCTACGCCGCTGGTGCCAGAGCCAAACCGTGGTGAGGACAGAGAGGTAAATCCCATTTATGCCAGAGCGCCGGATCCCAGCAGTGCCAGATGTCGGGAGAGCCAAAGCCCGGCAGTGCCGGCGCCAGCTCCCATCAACCCAAACCCCGCCGGCCCCGCTCTCCCCCTCACTCCCAATCCGTCGGCGAGCGGATAACGAGAGGCGCCGCGTTCTTCCTGCCGGCACGGATCCCAGGATAAAACAACGGCCAAATCTTTTCGGTGAAAGTGTCGGTGAAAGTGTAAATGTGGGAGCGGTCGGTGACGTTGTAAAAAGCCACTTTCCCGGCTTCGTAGTCCACAAAGACGCCCACCCGCTTGGGTTTCACCCGCACCGTCAGCGGGGTGAAGGGGGTGGTGGTGGCCGCGTATTTGTCGCCGTTCCAGAGCCGCACCCGCCAATATCCCGTCTCCGGTAACGGCGTCAATTCCCCTTTCCGACTCACCGAATCCTTACAAACGCCGAGAGCCCAGTGGGTTTTGTCGCCGACCTCCACCTCCCAGTAATGCCGACCGGAGGTAAAGCCCTGCGCCGCCAAAACGCAAGGGTAAATGGTGAAACGCCGCGGCGTATCCGGTAAATCCCGGGGTCGAACTTCCACGAACCGGACGCTTTTCCGATCTTCCGATAAAACCAGGTTGGGATGCGCCGTGTCGGGATCGAGCGTCACCTCGCCTGGATGGCAACACCAAAAAAGGTTTTTAAGAAAGGGGGATTTAAGAAAGGGGGAGCGCGGTGAGGGGGGGCCCGGCTGCGGAACCGTGCTGGGGGGTTTTTTTCCTCACCGATGAGGCGCCGGGTGATTTTCCGGAGGGTGAAATATTGTCGGGGGAAACTGCCGAAGTTTTTCTCCAGCTCGATGGGGATGGAAACTGGTTCTTCCACCGGTGCCGCCGCCGCCTCGCACCTGCCGGCAGCCCCGGGGGGGGGAAGGTGGGACACGCTGGTCAACGCAACACACACACCCCCCCCCCCCCCCCCCCGGATCTGGCTTTTCCACCCCAAAATGGAGCCCGGAGAGCGGCCCCCGTGGGCTGCACGGTTCTTACCTGGCCAGCGTGTCCTTGATGTTCTGAAATGGGGGAAAAGCAGGAAAATGAGGGGAAAGCAGGAAAAAAGAAAGGGTTAGAAGTTCTAGATCCCCCCCCCTCCAAAGTCAATCCTGTCTCTGGGTGTGATCCTGTCCCCTGAAACCAATCCCTTTCCTGATGATCCTGTCCCCTCAAAATCAAACCTGTCCCCCACAATGATCCCACCTCAAAATCCAATCCCATCTGCAGGGTCCGTCCCCCCAAACCAATCCCATTCCTGGGAATTCTGTCCCCAAGATCAATCCTGTCCCCCACAACGATCCCACCCCCAAACCCAATCCCACCTGCAGTGATCCCGTCTCCAACACCATCCCTGTTCCTGGGGATCCCGGCCCTAAAAGCAATGCCACCCCCAAACCCCATCCGTGGCGATCCCGTTCCCCAAACCAATCCCATCCCTGGTATCGATCCCGTCCCCCCCCCCAAAAAAAAAATCAATCCTGTCCCCCAAACCGATCCCATCCCTCCAAAACGAGTCCTGTCCCCCGGGGACGACCCCTTCCCCAACCCCACGGGATCCCGGCTCCCAACGACAAGCCCGTGCCGGGCCATCTGATCCCATTCCCAGTGGTGATCCCCAGCCCGATCCCGCCCCACCTTGAGCATCTCGGCGCTCGGCTGCAGGCATTTCTCCTCCAACTCATCCACGAGGGCGGCCAGGACCTGGCGCTGCTCCCCGAGCCGAGCCAGGTTGGCCTGAAGCCGCTGCAGGATCTCCCGCTCTTCCTCCTCCAACCGCCGCAGCAGCAGCCGCTCCTCTTCCTCCAGCAGCTGGTGAAGCTCCTCGAACTCCCGGGCGATGTGTTCCCGTCGCAAAGCCACCTTCCTCTGCCGGGATTCGGTGGGAAAAGGGCACCGGTGAGCACCGGGGTGGGGGGGGGTGTCGGGAGCTCTCCGGCATCCATCCCCCCGGCACCGTTAACCTGCCTTTAGCTCGCTCGGTTTTTTCTCCTCCCGCGCTCGGCAGCCGGCGACTGCCTCCAGCTTCCGCTCCAGGGGCTCCAGGCAGCGCTGCAGCTTCTCCTGCCAGGGTGGGGAGAGAGAGGAGGGTGGGCAATGGGACGGGACCCCCCTGCCCCGAATTCCTCCTCTATTCCCGAATCCTTCCTCTGGCCTCGAATCCCTTCTTCTATCTTCAAATCCTTCCTCTGGCTCCGAATCCTTCCTCCAGCCCCAAATCCCTCCTCTATCTTCAAATCCTTCCTCCAGCCCCAAATCCCTCCTCTATCTTCAAATCCTTCCTCCAGCCCCAAATCCCTCCTCTATCTTCAAATCTTTCCTCCAGCCCCAAATCCCTCCTCTATCTTCAAATCCTTCCTCCAGCCCCAAATCCCTCCTCTATCTTCAAATCCTTCCTCCAGCCCCAAATCCCTCCTCTATCTTCAAATCCTTCCTCCAGCCCCAAATCCCTCCTCTATCTTCAAATCCTTCCTCCAGCCCCAAATCCCTCCTCTATCTTCAAATCCTTCCTCCAGCCCCGAATCCTTCCTCCATCCCTGAATCCCTCCTCCAGCCCCAAATCCTTCCTCTGCTGGGGCTGAGTCCCACTGCGAGGGGCTGGAGATGGGGGTGAGTCAGAGCCCAGTTCCCTCCTTGGATGGTCCTGGGGAAGAATTTCGAGCTTAAAATGGGGACAGGGACAAGTTGCTGCCCAAACTCCTCCACAGACAGCCTCAGGGAGAGGCTTTGGGGCTGAAAATTGACACAGGGACAAGATGTTGCCCAAATTCCCTCCACAAATGGTCTCTGGGAGGGAGTTTGGGGCTAAATCCCACCCTCGGGGGCTGGAGAATGAGATGAGGATGAGTTTATGGCCGAAAGCCCTCCAGAAACAGCCTTGGGGCGACAGTTTGTAGCTAAAAACAGAGAAGGGGACAAGAAGGTGGCGAAAAACCTCTCCACAAATGCCCGCAGGGAGAGGGTTTGGGGCTAAATCCCACCCCTGGGGGCTGGAAGTGGGGATGAGCCATGGCCGAACCCCCCCGAGATGGTCTTGGGGAAGAATTTGAGGCTGAAAACGGAGATGGGGAAGAGCCAAGGCCAAATTCCCTCCACAAACGGCCTCAGGGAGAGGGTTTGGGGCTGAAAATGGACACAGGGACAAAATGTTGCCCAAATTCCCTCCGCAAATGGTCTCTGGGAGGGAGTTTGGGGCTAAATCCCACCCTCAGGGGCTGGAAATGGGGACGAGCCATGGCCGAACCCCCCCTGAGATGGTCTTGGGGAAGAATCTGAGGCTGAAAACGGAGATGGGGATGAGCCAAGGCCAAATTCCCTCCACAAACGGCCCTCGGGGAAGAATTTGAGGCTGAAAATGGAGATGGGGATGAGCCAAGGCCAAATTCCCTCCACAAACAGCCTCAGGGAGAGGGTTTGGGGCTGAAAATGGACACAGGGACAAGATGTTGCCCAAATTCCCTCCACAAATGGTCTCTGGGAGGGAGTTTGGGGCTAAATCCCACCCTCAGGGGCTGGAAATGGGGACGAGCCATGGCCGAACCCCCCCCGAGATGGTCTCGGGGAAGAATTTGAGGCTGAAAACGGAGATGGGGATGAGCCAAGGCCAAATTCCCTCCACAAACAGCCCTCGGGGAAGAATTTGAGGCTGAAAACGGAGACGGGAGACCAATCCCAGCCGAAACGGACTGTAAGGCTGAATTTGGGGTCAAAAGCAAGACCGAGGGATGCTTCTGTGCTTCCCTCCCCCCCGCCTCCTCCGCTCCCCACCTTGTACTCGAGGGCCGCGTCGTCGAGGGGGACGAAGGCGTGGGCGCGATGGGCGTGGGAGATCTCGCAGAGGAGGCAAACGGGGGCTTGGTCGTCGCGACAGAAGCGAGCCAAAGCTTGGCCGTGCGCTTGGCAGCGGTTCTCCTCCCTGGCTTTCCGTTTGGCCCCGCGAAGCTGCCGGGCGGCTTCGACCATGTTCCCCAGTTGGCGGTTGGGGCGGAGGGCGCGGTGGCGGGTGGTTTTTTCGGCAGACGGGGCAAGGGAAGTCGCGCGCCAGCTCGGCCCACCACCGCGTGATGCAACGGCGGCAGAAATTGTGCCCGCAGTCGATGAGGACGGGATCCTGGAGGTACTCCAGGCACACGGAGCAGCTGGCTTCCACCTGCAGCGTCTCCAGGGGGTCGGCGCTCGCCATGGCAGCGCCCCCGCAAAATTGGGGGGGGACGGACACACACGCACACACCCACGCCCCCCCTCCCCGCCCCCCCAAGGACGGTGGGGCTCAGGAGGTTTGGGGAGGGTTTGAAGCGGTTTTGGGGAGAAAACAGGTCAATTGTGGCAAGGTGACGACATCATTTTAGTAGGAAGCGACGCTGAGGCAATGGCGGAGGTTTGAAGAGGTTTTGGGGAGAAAACAGCTCAGTTTTGTCAAGGGGTGACATCAATTTAGTAGGAAGCGACGCTGAGGCAATGGCGGAGGTTTGAAGAGGTTTTGGGGAGAAAACAGCTCAATTCTGACAAGGGGATGACATCAATTTAGTAGGAAGCGACGCTGAGGCAATGGCGGAGGTTTAGAAGAGGTTTTGGGGACAAAAAAGCTCAATTCTGTCAAGGTGATGGCACGGTTTTCAGAGGAAGGTGATGTTGAGGTGCGGTAATGCAGGTTCAGAGAGGTTTTGGGGAGAAAACAGCTCAATTCTGGCAAGGTGATGCCATGGTTTTAGTGGGAAGCGACACTGAGGCAACAGCACAGGCTTGAAAAGGTTTTAAGGAGAAAACAGCTCAATTTTGTCAAGATGATGACGTCGTTTTGCTGCAAAGCAATGCCACGGCGATAGGGCAGATTCAAAGCAGCTTTGGGGAGAAAACAGCTGAATTCTGGCAAAGTGATGATGTCGTTTTCGTGCGAAGCGATGCCACGATGATGGGGCAGGTTCGAAGCAGTTTTGGGGAGAAAAAAGCTCAATTTTGTCAAGGTGACTGGGCGGTTTTTAGAGGAAGGTGATGTTGAGACGCAGCAACGCGGGTTCTGTGAGATTTTGGTGAGAAAACAGCTCGATCCTGTCCAAGCGATGCCGTCAGTTTTGGCGGGAAGCGAGGCCCATGTGCCGGCGTCGTTCCCGAGTCCTTTTTGGGGGGAAACCGGTTGAATTGGGTGAAAACAAAAACACACTGCCGGTGGCGGGAGGCGCCCCCCCCAGCGGTGGGGCCGTTCTGGGGCTGTTTCAGGGCTTTTTGGGGCTGCTGTGGGAGAATGTATAAGGGAGGACTTGCCTATAGGAGTCGCTATAGGGTGCTCCCTCTATAAGCTCCATAGGGGGGCCCCTATAGAGAAATCAACATAGCAAGAGGCTCCCTAAGAGATTCCCCATAGGGTTGGGGTCCCTATAGGGGTGCCCCTATAGAAAAGGAGCCCTGAAGTAGGTGCACTTTAAGGGGGGGCTGCACCTGGGTTCCTATAGGAAGTACCATATAGAAAAGGGGGTGTGGAAGGGACACCCCACAGGAAAAGGGCCCTATAGGGTAGGCTGTGCGGGGTCACTATAGGGGACAGCCCTCAGGGAAGGGCCGTGACCGGAGCCCTATAGGAAGGGCTCTATAGGGGTTCCTATAGGGGACAGCCCTCAGGGAAGGGCCGTGACCGGAGCCCTATAGGAAGGGCTCTATAGGGGGTCACTCTATAGGGAGAATCCCGGTTCATCCCCTCCCCCACTCACCGCCGACCACCGCCGCGCCGGGCCCGACGCCGGAAGTGACGGCCTCCCCACGGCGCCGGAAGTGACGACACCTAGCTAGAAGAGACGCCCGCCCTTTTTTTTTTTTTTTTTTTTTTTTTTTAAACCAGAGCCGGGGGCGGTGGACCTGCAGGACAACCCCGCCCCCTGGGGTAGCGCTGACCAATGGGGAGCGTTAACCCCGCCCACGCCGAGGGGGCGCGGCCAATCAAGGGGCGCGATGGCGGCGCCGGTGCGGGACCGCGAGGCGCTGCAGCGGCTCAACTTTCTCTTCCAGGTAGAGCCGGGTGGGAGTTTGGGGGCTTATAGGGGGCGTGGGGAGGTAAAGGGTGGCCGGGGGGTAACAGGAAGGCTGGGATGGACGTCCAGGGGGATTTAAGGGAGTTGGGAGGGGAGGATAAGAAGGTTATGGGGCAGAAAATTGACGGAGGGCGGCTGACGCCATGTTTGTGTCCCCCTCCCCAGGCCGCCCACTGGGTGCTCCCCCACAGCCCGGCCCTCGCCCGCTTCTACTGCAGCACCCAGCGTGGGGCCGCCCGCCGCCTCGTGCTGCGCATGTGAGTTATTTGGGGGTGCGGGGGGACACCCCGAAGTATGGGGGAGCGGGCAGAAGGAGGGTCCTAACACCCCCCCCCCCCTTACTTCCAGGGCCCCCTCAGTGAAGCGTACCGTGTGCCGCCGCTGCTGCTCCCTGCTGCTGCCGGGCCTTGGGGGCTGCCTGCGCCTGCGAGGTGGGTCTGGGGGGGGTATTTGGGACCCCCCCCACGTCTGGAAGGGTGGGGGGGCGGGAGGGTCTGAGCTGGGTGTCGCCCGCAGGGGGGGGGCAGCCCCGCTGGGTGCTGCGGTGCCGGAGCTGTGGGCGCTGCCGGCGGTACCTCTGTCAGCGGGAGCTCCGCCCCCAGGTGCAGGCCACGCCCTCTGGTGAGTGAATGGGCGGGGCTTTGGAGGGGGCGGGGCTATGCTGGGGACAGGTGGGGAAACGGGTGGGCGGGGCCAAGGGCTGTGGGCAGAGGCCGTGCAGAGGATAGACAAGGCACTGCACAGAATGGGTGGGGCCAAGGGCTGTGAGTGGCCAATCCAGAGGTGGGCGGGACCCATGCAGGGGATAGGTGGGGAGCTCCATTGGATGGGTGGGGCCAAAGGGTGTGGGTGGGGCCAGTCAGGTCCAGGCAGCTACCCCACCCCAATTAAGAGGATGAAGCTAATTGGGTGAGGGCTAAATCTCTAAAGGAGCAGAGGTGGGCGGGGTTAAAAAAGAGGGAGGGGTTATTAGGGTAGTGCGGTGACATCATTCTTCCAGGCCCCGCCCCAGCGGACAGCCCAGCCTAAGAACTACCTGGCGACAGAGCGGCCACGCACCCTCTGATTGGTCTCTGCAGAAGCCAGGTGTAACCAATCAGAAGACACCAACTGCAGAAATAAACCCTTTATTCCATATATGGTATTAGTGTAGCGGTAAGGGGCTGAGCCTCTCTTAGGCTCCACCTCCCAAGGGGTGGGGCTTAACACTCATCTTCTCCCAGCAGTGCAAAGGGGTTGGGGGTGGGGCTGGCAGGGGGCGTGGCCTCCCCAGGCTCCGCTGCCTCATCACTGTCACACTCCTCCTCCGAGGTTGAGCCTTCCTCCGGGGGGGCAGAGCCCCGCTCCCCCCCCGCCTCCTGCAGAGCCGCCAGCGCTGCCGTCTCGGGGTGCTGCTCCCACAAATCTGGGGGTGAGGAGACCCGGGAAACAACACCCTGAATCCAGGCACCCTCATTGGCTGAAATCCCTCCCCCCCCTTCAGAAAAAAAAAAAAAAAAGAAAGGTGCAGAGTGTTTGCAGGGGTGGTTTGGGGGGGATACTCACCCTTTTGGGCAGCGTAGCCGGGGGGGCGCAGGCAGAGGCGGAGTCGTCCCTCGGCTGCCAGGCGCAGGATGCTGTTGGCCGCCCGGTAGACGTCGTTGCGAGCTGCTTTCGCCGTCTTGTAGCCTCGTTTTTCCGCCCATGCTACAGAAAAAAATCCAACGCCCCAAAAAAAATAAAAAAAAAAAAAAAAAAGAAAACCACCCCAAAACATTATTAAAAAAAAAAAAATAAGCCTGATTTTGAATAAATTCACCCTGATAGCAGAGTACCTTCGCAGATATCCCAAGCGGTCCAACCGGCAGCAGCACTGGGGGGCCGGAGCTGGAGGAGTGGTGGGAGGGAGAGGCGGGAGGCCAGGTACCCCACAGGCGTGTAGGGCTCCTGCAGCTGCGAAATGGGGTACACCCCTGCCAGCACCTGGGACACACACACACACAGGGGGGGTGAGGGCTGAGCCGGGGTGGGGGAGGCTCTAGGAAGGGGGGGGGGTTGGACCCTACCTGGAGAGCTGGGGGTGCGTGGGAAGGGAAGACAAGGCCCGGGCAGTCGCAGAGACGGACGCAGGGGGTGAGGAAATGGGTTTGGAAATACCGGGTGCGACCGGGGGCACGGGAAACGCTGACAGCGCCCCGGCCCACCAGCGCGTTCAGCACCGATGACTTGCCGGCATTCGGCAGGCCTGCGGGCAGGGGGCGGAGCTAAGGATAGCCACACCCTTTTCCAAGAGCTACACCCCCTCAGGCCACACCCCCCCCACAGCAGCAAAAACTGCTCTAATCTCCATTTAACCAAGGGGGGATAACCCCATAAACCCCACCCCCTATTGGCCACACCCCTTCTCAGCCCCACCTCCATTAAGTTCCTCCTCTGCCAGTTAGCTCCACCCCCCATTAAACCTTCCCCATATGAAGTCCCACCCTGTTAGGCTCCACCCCTTCACTGAAGCCCCACCCCCTCCATCAGACCCTTCCCAATTAAGCCCCACCCCTTGACTAAAACTCTAATAGACCCATTCCATAATAAGCCCCACCCTTCCTCAATGCCACCCTATTTAAGCCCCACCCCCTGGATAAAGCTCCACCTCAGACCCAACCCATAAACCCCACCCCTCCCTGCTAGGCTCCACCCCCTTCACGATGCCCCCATTAAGCTCCACTCCTCCCAGTCAGGACCTACCCAACCGATTAAATCCTTCCCACATTAAATCCCACCCCCCTTAGGCTCCACCCCTGTAAAACCACACCCCCTCCCTGAAGCCACACCCTCCAGCTAAGCCCCGCCCCTCACCAACACAGCCCAGGGTGAGGATGCCATGGCGGTAACGCTCCCACTGCCGGGGGGGGCCCCCCGCAACGCCGTCTTCATCCCCGTCCTCCTCCTCCTCCTCTTCCTCCACCTCCTCCTGCTGCGGCTGCTCTTCCTCCTCCTCTTCCTCCCCCCGTGCTGCCGCCTCCTCCGCTCGATCCAGCCGCGCTCGCCAGCTGCTCAAGTCCACTGCAACCCACCCCCCCAACACTAGGTGGGTGGGTGGGGGGCACCCAGGGGACACAAAGCTGCACCCACAGACCCCCACCCTGCCCCCTCCCAGCACCCATGGGTGCCCCCCTCCCCCCTCACCTTCTTCCCCCACAATGCTCTCACAGGCCTCCAGCAGCTGGCGGGGTCCCACAGCCCGGCTCCAGCCACCCCCCCGTTTCTGCCGCCGCTGCAGCCCTAAAGGAGAAAATGAGGGTGAAAAATCAGGGAGAAACGGGAGTCTGAGAATATTTAGGTGCCCCCCCCACCCTGAGCACCTGGGGTTCTACCGGGCGCGGGGCTGCGTCGGGGGGCTGAGGTGAAGGGGACAACATGGGCAGCGGGGAAACGACGGCGCAGGAGGTGACTCCAAGCGACAGCCACAGCCGGCGAGGTCAAATCCACTTTGTTGAGGATGAGGATCAGGCCCTTCCCCAGCTCCCGCGTGACGTGGGTGGCCAAGGCCGGTGGCACATTCAGCGCCTAGGATAAGGGGGGGGGGGAGGGGCACAAGGGATATTGGGAGGGGGTCCGCTGCACCCCAACCCCCCCTCCCGTGCTGTACTCACCGGGTGCCGGGCATCAGTGATGAGGAGGATGATGTCGGACATCTCCAGCACCCGCCAAAGCTGCCGCCACGTCTGGGGAAGGCAAAAAAGGGGACACACAAACAGTGATCCCTTTATTCTTTAATCACACACCACCCCGCCACCCTCTCAAAAAAAATCCCTTCAGGGTCTCCTCTCACCTCCAGGTTGTGCTCGAAGGGAGCCACGTCGCCTCCGTCCTCGTCGGCCCCCCCGTCCTCAGCCCCCCCGGGGCGCTGGGTTTTTTGAAGGGCTTGGAGGAAAGAGCTGAAAGCCGCCTCCTCCCGCCTCCGCAGCTCCTCCCGGCTCATGGCGAAGCTCCAGGGCGGCCGACGGGGGAAATCCAGCCCTGGCACCCGGCAGTTTGGGTCACACCAGTCCCCCAAAAAGCCTCCGCAGGGCACCCCTACTCCCCCAGGGACCATTCACCCCACCCTCAAACCACCTTCCCCCCCCTCCCCCATACCCAATTACCCTCTCTGAGCCCCCCTCAACCATTATTAATCTCCTCCTTCAAGTTTATTAATCCCTAGATTATTAGTTACACCTTTTCCCATGACAATTCCCTCTCTTCTCATTGTTAGCCACACTCCTCAGCGCCTCAGCTCCCCCCCCAACACTTTAACCCCCCATTTCACTGCTTACTTACCACCCTCCCCCCCGAATCACGTATTCCGCCCCCCTCTGCGGCTTATTCACCCCTTTTCCCCGGGGTATCAGCCCCTCACCGGGGCCGTAGATGCTGTCGGGGTCCAGCTCAAGCGCGGTTTCGGGCAGCAGCTCCAGCAGCTCCTCCTGAGCTCGGCGGCGGCGTCGCGCCAAGGCCTCGGCCCGCGGCCCCCCCAGCTGTAACCGGAACCTACCGGCCACCCGCAAGATCAGGTAAATACCCGGATCCCCACCCGCACCGCGGGCAGCAAGCCCACCAGGTTCCCTTTACCCCTCCCCGGTACCTATTGGGGTCGTGGCGACGGGGAGGCGGGGCCGAGTCTCCCGTTTCACCAGCGGCCGCATCGCTGCTTCGCTCCCGGCTGCCAGCGCCCGAGTCCGGCCCTGGCGGGGCATCTACGGATAAAAAGCGGCGGTCAGGGAGCAGCCGGGCACCGGGCTCCTCCCTCGGCGGAGGCTCCGGGGGGGGGCAGGCCCAGCCCCCCACTCACCGCTCCGTTTCCGTTCGCGCCGATCGCGGAGCTGCTGTTTCTTCCGCTTCGCGCTGAACGGCCGCTTGCGGGGCATGCTGGGAAGTCACGTGGCGGGGCGGAGCGCCGCGCGGCCAATAGAAGCGTCGGGAAGGTGGGGAGTGAAGGGGAGGGGGCCAATGGTAAAAAAGATCACCGGGTGGGGTCTGGAGCCAATGGGAGAAGGAGTTACCACAGGAGGGGGGCGGGATGAACGTGCGCGAACCAATGGAAGGAGGAATGACCGCGGAAGGAGGCGGGACGGACACGCCCCTCCCCGCCCCCGGGGGTGGAGCGAACCAATCGGAAGCGGAGAGCGAGGTGGAGGACTGTGGCGGAGTGCAGCCACTCTAGGCGAGTTGTCTGTGGTTGCGCAGGCGCAGAGAAGCGGCGCCCGGCCATGCCGAAGGCTGCGCGCCCGGCGGCTCCTCCGCAGGAGGAATGGCGGGGAGAGGGCGAGGGGCAGGGTAAGGGCGGGGATCCCCGGTCCCTCCGCAGCGGGGGGAGCGGAGTCGGGACGCCTAGGACGGGGAGGGGGGTGTCGGGTTCCTTGAAGGGAGGGTGAGGCCTGTTGGGGGGGGGGGGGGGGAACACACGAACAGCCGGAGGGGTGCGATTAGCCTTGGAAAGGGGTTAAAATTCGCGGAGTTGCGGTGGTGGTGGTGGGGTGATGGGCCCTTTTGGGGGGGTGATGGAGCGATGGGCCCTTTTGGGAGCGCGATGAGCCCTTTTGAGGGGGTGATGAAGTGCTGAGCCCTTTTGGGGGGGCTCTTGGGCACATTGGTGGAGTGGTGGGAGTGCTCGGCTGCCGGTGTCCCATGGGTGTGGAGGGCACGCACGCACACACACGCACAGACAGAGATTTGGGTGCTTTGGGGTGGGGGGATCCGCGATGTTGGGCCCCTCAGGGCAGCAGGGGGTGGGTGGGGAGAAGCCGCCTGGATCCCCAGGAACGGGGCTGAGCTTTTCCCTGCCCAGAGCAACCGGTGAAGAAAGGGAAGAAAGACCGGCGAGGCAAGAAATCGGTGAGCTCTTGACCCCTGAGCATTGACCCCTGAGCCTAAAACCCCCCCACACACCCCCTTGACCTTTGCCCTTCGCCCTCAGTTCTTTGAGGAACTGGCAGAGGAGGAGAAAGCGGCGCCGGCTGAAGCCCCCACCCCCCCGGAGAAGGAGGCGCCGGCCCCCCAGGTTCATTAGGAGATGAGTAACAAGGGGGTGGGGCTGAGGGGATTGAGAGGGGGTAGCTGAGATTTGAGATTAATTAAAAAGGGGGTTAATGAGGTTTTACCACCCCACCCCTCCAAGGCTTCCCGGCGGAAGCGAGACCGGCGGAAAGAGCGGCGGCGGCCGGGAGCAGAGCCGGAGCCGGAGGAGGTGGAGCTCAGCCGGCGCCTGCAGGAGTTAGCAGCAGCTGGCAGCGAAGATGAGGAGGAGGAAGGTGAGCGAGGGGGGACTTTATAACCCCCCACCCCCCCCAAAACTGGGAGCAGCGAGTCTGCTTAGGGTAGAGCGTCGCCACCAGGAAGTGCTGGGCTGGGTGCGCTCTAGGCCGTGGCTGACTCACAGCTCTATGGTTGCTCACTAACCGTCTCCCCCCCCCCCCCCCCCCCCCACAGTGCCAGCTCCGAGGAAAGGGGGGAGGAGGAGAAAGGTGAGTGTGTGGAGGGGTCCCTCAAAATAGGGGAGGGATCCTAAAATAGGAGGGTTGTGGGGGGATTTGAAGGGGAGGGGGGACGCAGTGTAAAAATGGGGAAAAAGTTGAGGAAAAGGAGCCAAAATTGGGGGGGAGGGGGAGGGTGGGAAGGAAATATTTTGGGGTCTCTGCTCCCCAACCTCCCCTTATTGCCCGCGCAGGGCGGCAACGTGTTTGCGGCGCTGAGCCAGGAGCAGAGCGAGGACGAGGAGGAGGAGGAGAGGAGGGATGAAGGCTTGCGGCCTGGCAAGGGGAAAAGCAGCAAGGTGGGGGGTGCCTGGCTCCCTGGGAGTTCTGGGGAGGTGGGGGGGCACCCCAAAAGGTGGGCTTTGTGTTGGGGGAAGGACCCAGCTGCCTGGGTCCCCCACTCTCTGACGGCTCCGGGCAGGAGGAAGAGGAGGGGGAGAAGAAGAAGAAGAGCCGCAAGAACGAGAAGGCCAAGGGGAAGCGGCAGGTGAAGATGGGGTTTGAGGAGGTGGGGGGGGGGGGCTGAAGGGGTGATCCCCACGCTTTGGGGGCTCCCCACGCTTTGGGGGCTCACTCCAGTGTTTTTCCCCCTTAGGGAAAACCTGCCAGTGAGGATGAGGCCGAAGGCTCCGATGAGGATGAGCGACCCAAAGGCGGGAAGGTGAGGAGGGGAGGGGCACGGCAAACCTGGCCACGTTTTTGGTGAGGAATGAGGCAGCGGGGCTGATTTCACCCCCCTCCCCCCCCCCCCCCCCCCAGAACAAGTTTGCAGCTTTGTGTGAGGAGGAGGAGGAGGAGGAAGAGGAGGATGAAGCCGAAGAGCCCCGGAAGGGCAGTGAACCCGTGAGTCCCTTGGGATGAGGGGGGTTCCCCCTCATTCCCAGGTCCCCAAAAACTGATGGAAATGGGGGGGGGGCGGCGGGAAATGGGGCGTGTGCTTTGTCCCAGCCTGAGGAGGAGGATGGCGGGAGGAAGGCCGAGCCCGATGCCCGCGTCAGCAAGAAGGAGAAGAAGAAGATGAAGAAACAGGTGAGGAGGTGGGGTGGGGGGCGGAGCTGGGGAGGAGGGGGTGTGGCTTGATGCTGACCCCACCCCTGTTTTGCTCCGCCCCCCCTTTTTTTCCTAAGATGGAGTATGAGCGGCAGGTCGCCACCATAAAGGCGGCGGCGGCAGCGGGGGAGAACGACTTCTCGGTGTCGCAGGCCGAGCTCTCCTCGCGGCAGGCCATGCTGGAGAACGCCTCTGACATCAAGGTGACCCCCAAAACCTGCCGGAATCACCCCCCAAAAAAAAAAAAAAAAAGAAACAAATTTCACTCAGTTTCTACCTATCTTCCCCTCTCATCACAGTGAGGTGGTATCACCCATACTTATTCACACCCCACTTCTCCCCCCCGCCATATTAGAGAGGTGGTATCTCCTATGCTCCAGTAATACTGTGGAATGGGTCATGCCATTGTGCGGGGGATAGGGGGGAACTGGAACACACCATTATAACAGTAACAGGGGGGACTACACTGGTAAAATGGGGAGGTAGGGTCATACCACTGTAGAGGGAAATGCGGGGAACTGGGACAGAGCGTTATACTGGGAACAGGGAGAAGTGAGTTATTGTGTTACACTGGGAAACAGGAGAGCTGGGTTATACTCTTGTACTGGGAAAGGAGGGATTGGGACATACCATTATACTGGGGATGGGGGAAGTGGGTTATTGCATTGTACTAGAAAAGGGGAGCTGGGCTATGCCATTTTACTGGGGAAGGGGGGGAACTGGGACACACTTATACTGGGAAAGTGGGGGGTGGTGTCACTGTTGTACTGGGAAGGAAAGGGGGTGGCATCGCTCTTGTGCTGAGACAGTAAAAATTGTCTTACTGGGAAAGGGGGAAACTGAGTCATACCATTGTAGTGGGGAAAGGGGGGGAGATCAGGTCATACCATTACACATGGGAAGGGGAGGATCTGGGAGACACCATTATCTTAGAGAAGGGAAGGAACTGGGTTGTACCACTGGACCAGCAGAAAAGAGGTGCTGGTTTGGGGGGGGGTCGGGGGGCCACCCCTGACCCCCCCCCCCCCTTTTCCTCATCACAGCTGGAGAAGTTCAGCATCTCAGCCCACGGGAAGGAGCTTTACGTCAACGCCGACCTCTACATCGTGGCCGGGCGCCGCTACGGCCTGGTGGGACCCAACGGGTGGGTGCCCCCCACCCTTAAAAGGGGTGTTTCTTCCCCCACCCCCCCCCTCTTCCCCACCCAGCAGTGTTTAACTCCTCGCTCCCCTGCAGGAAAGGCAAAACGACGCTGCTGAAACACATCGCGAACCGGGCGCTGAGCATCCCCCCCAACATCGACGTCTTGCTCTGCGAGCAAGGTGTGCCTGGGCGGCTGGAGAGGGGTGCTCTCCTGGCTCCCTAGATCCCTCCCCCACCCCCCAAAAAAATACCCCTTCCCTCTCCCCCCCCCCCCCAACCAGAGGTGGTGGCAGACGAAACGCCGGCGGTGCAGGCCGTGCTGCGCGCCGACACCAAACGCCTCCGTTTGCTGGAGGAGGAGAAACGGCTGCAGGCGATGCTGGAAGGCGGCGACGACGCGGCCGCCGAGCGCTTGGAAAAGGTCCGAAAAGCTTTGGGGACAGCGAGGAACCCCTCAAAAACCCCCAGCCCACCCCTTTCCCCCCCCCCTTCAAATGACAACCAACCCCCTTCGCATAGGTGTACGAGGAGCTGCGGGTCATCGGGGCGGCTGCGGCCGAGGCCAAGGCGCGGCGGATTCTCGCCGGTCTCGGCTTCAATCCTGAAATGCAGAACAGAGCGACGAGGAAATTCTCCGGTGGGTGGCGGATGAGGGTGTCGCTGGCCCGGTAAGTGACAAGGAGGGGATGTTTTTGGAAGGGGGGGGGGGGGGGGCGGGTTTGGGGGTGACAAGCGTGGCCAGGACCTGCTGGTGACACCGGTGTCACTTCAGGGCTTTGTTTATGGAGCCGACGTTGCTGATGTTGGATGAACCCACCAACCACCTCGATCTCAACGCCGTCATCTGGCTCAATAAGTGGGGACAAGGGACATTGGGGGGGGGGGGGGGGGTCACAAGGGTGGGGGGGACCCTGAGAACGGGTAGCCTTAAGTTGGGGGGGGGGCACCTGAGGGGTTGTAGGGGGGTGGGGATGTCCCTAAGGAGGGGTGACCCCCCAAGGGGAATGTCCCCAGGGGACGTTTTGGGGTGTCCCCAAGGAGAGGGGGGGGTGGAATTTCCTGTGTATTTTCCACACCCCCCCCCATATCCTTGTGTTGTGTGCGTGTGTCCCCCCAGTTACCTGCAGACCTGGAAGAAGACGTTGCTGGTGGTGTCCCATGATCAGGGTTTCCTTGATGACGTCTGCACCGACATCATCCACCTCGACGCTCAGCGCCTCTACTATTACCGGGGCAAC